GCGATATATGCGATGTTTTGAAATTATTTTTTTAGGAACACGGATGCTCTATCCCCTCTAAAAATTAAATTTGTGTGTTTCTCAATTGATGTACTTTCTCTTAAAAATGGGTCATTTTGGGGGGTAAGTTGCCCTTTAAAAAGAAGACAAAGTTGAAACAGACAAACAAACTTATACTTTACTTTACGTATACTTTACTTTCAGCAGATAATTTTCATAGCCGAGCGATAGAAGTAGATCATTTATTTTTATTGCGTTATTATTCTAACTTGATTATTATTACTGTCGATACTCGACGCGGTTAAAAGGAATGCAATGTTTGACTTACTTTTAGAATCTGTGCGCTGCGCTATATTGGGATCAATATTATATAGGACTGAAGAAACTTAACTTGACACTGCAGTCTTTCAGTACATCAGGGGACAGATTGGACTCTTGTGAGAATAGCTACATACCTTCAGTTCATTTATTGTCTCTTCCTTATGCTCTTCTTTTCTTGTTGGTTCGTTTGATGGTGACTGGGGTGGACTGAAGCGAGTAATTCGACGACCTACGTAACACAAGATTTACTAAATGCGATGCATGACAGTTCACTGCATCCACTGGATGCGCCCCGGCTAAATCAAACAACAGGTACATCATTATAGAGCTTTTGCACCATCACGTGACGGCAGCCATGTAAGATGGCAGGAACAATACAATCGTTTTACATGAGAAAGAATTCAATTCCCGAGAGCAAAGGGATTTTACTGTTCTGCCATCTAACCACAGGCAGTCCAAGCAGTATTATGGGCGTCAACACGTGATTGTGCAAAACCTCTATTGACTTAAAAAAAGACGCATTATTCTAGAGTCTCCCTAACCCGCCATGTTTACAACACTCACTACCACACATTCATGCCTTACATAAAACACGCCAAAATCAACTCACTCTTTTGGCTTAATGGCGTGAAAGCAGGGGAGAAACGGTATTTTTCTTTTGGATTCTGGCTTAAAAACTTAGTTTTGACAATTTTACTAAAAATTGAAGCTACTCGTCGAAAATATTTGGACTAACAACGTATACTGCTTCAGTCGCTATCAAAGAATATTGGTGAGGATAGAATGTATCTTGATCAGCCTTTAGCACAGAAACCTTGTTCATGTTTTCATAACATTCAAATTTGATTATTGCAATAGGGTTAGGTATGGCTTACCTGCGAAAAAAATTTGTTCCTTAAATGAGTAAGCTGCAGCGCCTCATGCAAAATTCAGCGGCTAGACTTGTTACTAAAACGTAAGGAACTGTTCTATGTCGTTGTTGCATTGGCTGGCTACATAGTTTTTAAGGTTTTGCTCATTTTTTTAAAGATTATAAGCGGCTACTCCCTACCATATTTGGGCAGTTTACTGAGTGTACGGACAATGAAATAGTGTTTTTCATTTGTTAAAGTTTTTTCTGAAAAATGTCTTTATTTTTCTTAAAATAGTCGTGACTTTCAACTCCGTAATAATTTCAATCCATATGCATATGTACAGTAGTTGTTTCTCTTTGATCCTGGTAAATATTCTTTATGCTTGAAATCAGGTTTATAGCAGAAATAATTAATATATTTAGGCACTGCCTAAAAGCGGAGCTCCCGATACGCAAGCCACAGGTAGCCCAATTTGAATGAATCTGKAATATAAAATTAAAATCGGGAATTTTTTTTTTCTATTCGAGATGAAGATAATGTCTCCCATAATAAAAACCATGCACTGAAATCGAAACAAAATGCACTACATCGTTTTCCTTACGCGAGAATACTCTCCCACTTAGGAATTTTGTACACAACTCACCACCAGCCAACCCAGGGGCTAGTTTTGTTCTTTGAAGATTCTTCGAAGACAAAATTTCCCATGGCCGACATTTTTAAGCCTTGGATTTCTGGTTAATTTTACTTGAAAAACGAAAGATAACTACAGATAATCCAATACAATATCAGGTTTAGTGAAATTTACCTTGTCTTTCATTGAAAACGAAATTTTGGAGATTTCCGAACTTTTTATGGACAAATCGAGACTATGAAACAGACTTGAAGACTGGTTAAAAAAGGTTAGCAAAATATATAAGCTTACTTTTACTTCTTTTACACTAGTAACGATGTTTGGTTAATTATCCACATCAAAAGTTTTATGTTTTTACAAGAACCGTATTTTCATTCATAAAAGCCTTAAGGACGGTGCCTACTTATTGCGACCCATTTTTATTTATTTAAAACTGTGCCAGTCATTTAAATCACCCAAGAGGCCAATGGAATCCGGAAAAAAATTTGAGGGTACCCACGCATCTAAGTGAGATAATTGGCGTTAAGCACCGATGACGCAAGCACTTTTTTATGCAAGGGAAAAAAATTATATTTCGAAGTTCTTTGATTAGTTCTGAAAATTGTTTCAAATAAACAAGTTGTGTTCTTTATATAAAATACAAAAACTTTTTTGTATCATATAAGAAACCATTTTATTTTTAAACCAAATTTTGCCTTCAAAAGTGTTAAATATGGTTCTGAAGGGATACTACATTTTTGCCTACATTTGCATCCAAAACCATTTTTATTTTAGAAATGCTAGTATAAAAAGTTATCTGAATATTTCTCTTATATTTTGGATGAAAAAACTGGGGAACCCAGTTTTTTTAGGATAAATCGGGTGCTAAAAGCGTGACAAGCGTGACGCAGCGTTACGAAACAGCGTGAAGAGCTCTGTTTTTAGCGAGTTTGCAGCAACTCCTTCCTCTCCTCGTGGTTTTACAAAAAAAAAAAAGATAGTTAAAAAGCTCGTTAAAAAAAGACGTCATGGTCCAAGTGACGTGTGATTTGAAAGCTCGACCAATCAGAAACGCGATGT